TTGTTTTCGGTCAAACATTCCTCTAGGTGGTAGAGCCCTGGTGTGTTCACTTGTTGTACAGCAGTAACTTGTGGTTGCTGTGAAGCCGCACGCTGTGACACTGATGTGTCAAATGCGATAATGATTACCCATGGAGGACGGTGTTTGGTGGAGCTCCCCGATTAAAACAAGTTTAGAAGCAGAAATTGCATCCACTTTTGTAAATAGCTTGCCTCCAGAAACCCTATGAACCTGGAGAGAGGATTAAGGTCATGCAAATATTGAGGACTTTCTTTCATAGGGTCGCTGTGAGTCCCCTACGACTCGATGGCACCTAACAACATAGAAAGACCCATCAGCTTAGTGGACCGAAAGTGATGCTACCAAGCCAAAGGTGGATGACTCTAATCCGCGGCCCTCTGCCCTGTAGTTCACTGTTTTTGGTCAAACATTCTTCTAGGTCATATAGCCCTGGTGTGTCCATTTGCCATACAGAGGTAACTTGTGGTTGCTGTGAGGCCGCACACTGTGACACTGATGTGTCAAATGCAGTAACAGTTGGTTACACATGGTGGACGGTTTGGGGTAGAGCTCCCCGATTAAAACAAGCTTGGAAGCAGGAGTGGCATCCACTTCCATAAATAGCTTGCCTCCAGAAACCCTATGAACCTGGAGAAAGGATGACAGTCACACAAGTGTGGAGGACTTTTGTTCATAGGGTCGCTATGAGTCACCTTAGATTCGATGGCACTTAACAACAACAAAAACAACAACAACCCATTTGACTATACACTCAGCTATTGAGAAGTGTGATCAAAATGTAAGATAAAAGCAATACTATTTAGTTAATACTCAAGTCAGTTTGTAGTGGAATATTCACAGATATTTCCTTGACGTCAACCTCTGCCATTCCTGTTTTACTGAAATCATGTGATGATGCATGGTTGGCTGTAAATACACAATTAAGACTTTGACAAGGTACAGCTCACCATTGTTGTTGTTGATTCCATCAAGTACAACCCATAGCTACCCTGGACAATAGATCGGAACCTTGTCCTTTCCTGTGCCGTCCTCAAACTTTCTGATACACTCGAGCCCATTGCAGCAGGCACTGTGTCAATCTACCTGATTGAGGATCTTTCTCTTTTTAGCTGACATTCCACTTTTCCAAGCAGATGTACCTGGATGGAATACATAATGCCCTTCTTAAGATCTGATTATTGATAGACACATTTTCTGGAATACTTTTATTTACATAGTGAAATATTTAAATCCATGATTTTGAAATCTATGATTCTGCACAATTATTATCATATATAGCTAGAAATTCAAGTACAATTGTCTTATTTTAGTGTATATTTCAATCTGGAGACTAAGGTGTGCCTGATCCAGGTCATGGTTTTCACAATTAGTTGGTATGCATCAGAGAGCTGTACAATGAATAGTCATGACAGAAATCGATGCATTTGAATTGTGGTGCTGGAGAAGAGTCTTGAATGTACCATGGACTGCCAGTAGAACCAACAGGTGTGTTCTGGAGAGGATGGAACCAAGTCGTTCTCTGGAGGCAAGGATTCTGAAGCTCTGTCTGACATGCTTAGGCAGAAGAGACCAGTCCTTGGAGAAGGTCATCATGCTTGGAAGGGTGGAGGGACAACACAGGAGAGGAAGCTCCCGGATGAGATGGTGTGACACAGTAACTGGAGTAATAGGGGCAGGTGTGTTGGAGTTGAGATTGGCTCAGTAAAGGGCAGGTGGTTTCTATGAGCCTCAGGTGACTCAGTGGCACATAACAACATCAACAACATATTTCAGTGGGGCAAATTTTGTCAGAGTAAGACCCTGGAAGATCACGATCAGCAAGATTTTTTTAAAACTCCTTTTAATCCTTTTCCAATTCATAAGCATGATGATTGGGCGATCATACTTTTGTATGACATGTCCCACACTTTAAACTTTGTTATGACATAGTCACACTATCCTTCAGATCTGAAAAAAATCCTTTTGAGGTACTGAGTTGTTTTTGGTTTTGTTTTTGTTTTTTAACTAGTTGGTTTTTTTTATTGGGAAAAACATATTGGGGGTACAAGGAGGTGAGGGTTGGGGGCAGAAGGGTGAGGATGACCCAGGATGCAGTTGCAGAGCTGCACAGTTTGGTCGGTGGGGGGAGCAGGTGAAGGAAATGATGAGGGTCCAGTGGGGACCAGATGCTACAGAGGAATGACAAGCATTTTCCAATAGTAATTAAACCAACTGT